TTAAATGTGCTTTCGGCTCTGTCTTCCAGATAATTATAATGGAGCCTGCTTCTCCCCCACCCATGCCTGTCATCCTCAGTATTAAATTATGATGATGATGATGATTACTGGTAATTATCCCTTTCATGTATTTGGCATTTTCTACTTTCTAAAGTACTTGCACATGGATCCCTTCACCGTGAGCCCAGGAGACAGGAAGGGCAGGCATTGCTCCACCCATCTTTGAGATGAGGAGTGAGGCTGCTGTTCCCTCACCCTGGGTCACACAGCTTGTTAGGGACCCCGGGCATCTAATGGTCTCTAGCTCTCTCTCAACTGCATATTTATTCACTAGAAGGCTAATTATTTCTTTCCACAACCAAGGACACAATGGATATGTATATGGGAACATATATTCCATACATCAAAAATTGAGTTAGTATACTTTAAGTATATAGCACTATCAAGTTTAGAGTGTATCTTTGTCTCCCTTCTTCCATCTCTCTCTGTCTCTCTCTGTCTCTCTCTCTCTCTCTGTCACACACACACACACACACACACACACACACACACACATTGAGATCTGTACTATGTTGTTCACTTATGGATTTCAAAGCATTTTCCAAATAACAAGACATTGTCTCCTTTCTCGGTTATAATGGCTGAAACTTTTGGCAGGCTTTTCTCAGATTTCTGCTTCTTCTATGTATTATGTAGAAAAATCTAGGGATAGACCTGGGTATCTGCATTACATTCAGGAAACTGGATATAGAAGTGTGTGCATGCAAGGTACCACCTGCATGACACCTTGGCTGACTGCTAATTATTCTCCATGATCTGGAGCTAATCCCAAGGATTAAATGAGCATCTGCTCCCTGGTGCTGACAGTTGGGTGGGGCTGAGCCATAAACAGAGGGGTTGGATCAGGCTAAGGCAAACCAGCCATTCTGGAGAGGGCTAGGCTTCTGGAGACCCTTGGCAACTTGACCCTGGCTACTTCTGACCCTGCTTTGTTGTACCTTTCTCCATTCTACCCTCACTACCTCTCAGCACAGACATTGTGCAGGGTGGCGGTTAAGAACCAGAGTGAAACTACCGGAGCTCGTACCTGCTCTGCTGGCTCTGTGTGTTCTATGTGACCTTGGGCAGACTGCTGTGGACAACAGCCTCAATTCTCTTATCCATAGGAGGGGACTATGGCAGTAATCCACGCCTGAGTCCCAGTGCAGATTAGGTGAGATGTTCCCCTTAGAGAGCCTTAGCTATAACCACCGCTGGGATGCACATCATCCTGCTGCCCCTCTCTCTCCCCTTTTGTTTCTTGTTCATCATTGCTGCTCAAGTGCCGCCTCTCAGTGTTTTAGTACTCACTGCTTCTCCTTATGTTCTGCCACATATTACCGGGACTAGTCCACTTGGCATTCACCTTGTTAGGGTCATGCATTTATTTTTCTCTATTTCATGGTTCTGAGTCTGTGAGTCCCTCCTGGGGAGAGTCTATTTCAGATCTTAACTTTCTGTAGAAATACACACACACACACACACACACACACACACACACACACACACACGAAGGAAGGGAGCAGAAGGGCAAAGGAGAAATGAATGAAATGTGACCTTTGTTTTAGTCATCTCCAATGTTAGTTCCCTGCCCACACTTCCTCCTCCTTAGACAAGGCAGGCTTTAGGAGCTATACCTAAAAGCATAAACTCAGCAGAAAGTCATTTGAGAGTAGAAAAAGAGCCCAATTTTGTGATGTGACTAAAGTAATGGTGGTAAAGCAAAAGCCCCTTAGTCCTTAGGAGGCAGGGAGATTCTCATCTGCTTTTCCAAGAATGGAGAATGTAAGACTGCGCCTTGACCTTGTTCCTAAGATGGAGTCTCTTTTTCCTCTTGGACACCATCTCTTCTTGAGATTTCTCCCAGAGATGGGAAACAGGCAGAGGACACACTGAAAGGCTGGGTTTGTCAAAGTGATGGGAGTGTCTGGAGTTATGGGAGGATCTGAGAAGGACCACCAACTGGGTCTCAGGCACCAGCAAGAGCACTGGCCTGGCACTCATGCACCGGTCCTTGCTTAGGAGGCCACACATCTACTTGGACTGCCCTGGGCAAGTGGCCTTGCCACCATGACTTCAATACTTCATCTGGAAAAGGTAATCACCTAGGGTCCCTTCCAGCTCTAACATTAGGTAACTTGTCACAGCCCTTATAGACATCACTGCTCCCTGCACAAAATAGCAGTTGGTATTTAAAATAATGGTGGTGACTCATCTCAAAGTGATGACAAAAGAAGGTTGTTCTGATTTATACCCCACAGTGCCTCCACATTCTGGAATCCTGAGAACTAAGAGATTCTGCAGAACTGCACCTTCCAGATACCTGAACTCTACTTTTTAAACATCTAAACTGAATTTTGTTCTCAACATAATAATGTTAAACTTTTTCACGTTTTTTCATTACATTTAATATTTTGTTCTAATTATATTTTGCCTTCAGTAAAGAGAAGGGGGGATAATCCCTTGCACTTCTCTGGGTGACTCTGGGCCATCATTCTGACCATGAATGCTGCTAGTGAAGGGATACTCTCTGGAGCTTTTGAGCTCTGCCATGGGTTTGAATTTCTCCTTACTGACCTCCTCACTCCCTTCAGTCTCTGATGTTGTCATTGGGCAGGAATGAGAAGGGACATAATTTTCATATGTCCAAGCCCCAGAGCAAGACAGGGATTTCTTCAAGGTTAAAGAGCTGGTCAAGGTTAAAGAGCTGGTCAGTGGCATTGCTGGAGGAGAACAAGCTCTCTTTTGCTCAAGAGCCACAGAGGATTCCAGATGCCAGCTTGCCTAATTTGCAATCCCTTATTTCCTTTTTGGGGGTCTTAAGCCATCCCATTCAAGTTTCAAGGCTGGATCCTCATGGAGTTGACTGATATTGTTGCTGATGAAGACTACCTGATCATAGAACCCACTGTATTTCGTATTTTCAAATTTTTCAGTCTATAGAGATTCATTGGTGAGGTCAAATAAACAACAACAACAACAACAACCACCTACTATAGCAACTGGAAGAACCTGGCCAAAATCATATATAAGCAGTTTCATCTTTCTTTTTTCTTTCCTGCTGTCTTTCCCTCCTTCTATTCCTCCCTTCCATCTCTCTCTATTTCTCTCTTTCTCCCTTTCTTCACTGCTTCTCTCCCTCCAACTCTTTCTCAACCTCCTCTTCCTTCTCTCTTCCTACCTGCTCCCCCCTTTTCCTGTCTTCCATGTTGCAGGGACTCTAATAGGATGAAACTTATACTTGGTATATATTCAACTGTGATGCTGCTGCTAAGCTATTCTCTGCAGTCCGGAACTCTGGAGACTATTTACTTCCTCATAGTCCTTTGCTGGCAGTATTAGTATACACCATCCATGATGGAGAATGGGAACTTGGTTGCCATCACATGTTCCAAGAACCAGCTCAGCTTAAAGTGCATCAGAGAAGTGGCCTCTCAAGATAGGAAAGAAGGCAAAGTTTACATCCTGAAATGATGGTGTCTTTCTTAGAAAGGATGGGCCTGCTATGTGGCATGTATCCCTTTCTGTCAAACTCATGTGCAAAGGAAGCATACAGTCAGAGTGTGTGTTATAGGCTGTGGAGGATTTATAATGTTTCAATTTAGCTAGGCTGAATTCCATTTCATGCATGTTTCTGCTTAGGGTGGGCCATTGAGGAGATTCTTGTAAGATATGTGATGGGCCACAGGGAAACAGCAGTCATTTAGTATTTCATACATATTGTCACTTTCTGCTGACCCACCTGTGGTTGTGAACAATAGCTGGGCCTGCAACTTCCTCACCTTCCCCTGAGTCCTGAGCCAGGTGTGTAAGTTCATCGCTCAGACAAAGTGTCCTGGGCCTCTGTAGGATACCCTCAAGGTCAAAGCCAATAAGAACTCACAACAAATTTCAGAACATCTTCCTAGGCTTATTCCAGCTTGTTCTTGCTCTCCATCCGTATATCATAATATAGCCTGCATATATCATAATATAGACCTTGCTTGCCTTTCCTTTCCACAAGACAGGAATGGACCCACATTGATCCATCACATGGATAGTATTATGCTGATTGGATCTAACATTCAGGATGTAGCAACTGATCTATAGAACCTTGGTAAGACACTTACATGCTAGGAGGTAGGAAATAAATAAAATAATAAATAAATCCTACAAAAATTCAAGGGACTCCTGCCATGTTAAAATTTCTATGTCCAGTGGTCTGTTAAGATATCCCTTCCACAGTGAAGGGCAAGTTGCTGCATTTGATTCCTTGTACCACTAAGAAAGGGGCACAATATCTGGGAGCCCTCTTTGGATTTTTGAGTCAATATATACCTCATTTGGGTGTGTTTCTCTAACCCATCCAGATTAGACATAAAAATCTGCTAATTTTGAGTGGGGCTTAGAATAAGAGGTGGCTCTACAACAGGTTCAGACTGTCATGCAAGCTGTTCTGATACTTGGGCCATAGGATCCAGCAGATCCCGTGGTGCTTGAAGTGTTAATGGCAAATAGAGATGCAGTCTCTGACAAGCCCCTGAAGCTGAATCACAGAATAAACTCAGATTTTGGAGTAAAACGACATTATCTCTTTATGCAGTTATTCTTCTGTTGAGATACAGCCTTGGCTGCTACTGGGCCTTAGTGGAGAATGAACACTTGACCATGGGCCACTGAGTACTGTGTGACCTGAGCTGCCCATTACAAATTGGTGTGTGATCCACCAACCCATGAAGTGGAACATGGACAGGTTCTCTTCATTATCAAATGAAGTGATATATATGAGACTGGCCTTAAGAAAGCCCTGAAGACACAAGTGTATTGGACCAGGAGGTAGCCCAGATGCCCGTGGCCCCTACTATTTCTACTCTGTCTTTCTCTCTTAATCTACGGCCTCATAAGTAGCACCCTATGATCACTTAACTGAAGAAAATATTGGACTTGTGTTTTACAGGTGGTTCTGCATGATGTGCACTCACCATTAAAAAGTACATGGCTGCTGCACTATAGCCTCATTCTCGATGGTGGTAAAGACAATAGCAAAGGGAAATCTTTCCAGTAGCAGAACATTGGGCAGTACCCTGTAAAGAAGGAAAGAATTGCATATCCATACCAGCTCATAGACTACAAATGGTTTTGGTGGATGGTCAAGGACTTGAAAAGAACAAGAGTGGAAAATTGGTGATGAGAGGGTCTAGGGAAGAAGCATATAGATAGGGGAATCAGAATGAGCATGTAGGGTAAAGATTTTTGTGTCCTGGGTGAATGTTCACCAAAGGGTGATCCCAAGAGAGTAGGATTGTAAAAATCATATAGATAGAATATAGAATAACCTATTCTGTGGAAACCAGTCAGCCCTCCTGTCATTCCCCAGGCACTCCTGTCATTTCCTAATATGTTTATCAGCAAAGTGGCCATGATGGCTGGGATGGAAGGTATATGTGGGCTCAGCAACGTGTACTACCACTCACCGAGGATGAACTGGTTACAGTCACTGCTGAGTGTCCAATCTGCCAGCAGCAAAAACCAACACTGACATGGCACCATTCTCCAGGATGACCAGCCAGCTACCTGGAGGCAGGTTGATTACATTGGCTTGCTTCCATCATGAAAGACATAGAATATTATTCTTAGTGAAAAAGACACTTGTTTTATATATGGTTTTTCTCCAAATGATGTACAGTTTAAAAAATAGGAACTCTAAATATCAATAAAACCATAAATCAGATGTATTTTGATGCATTTTTGTCTATAGATGAGAGCCCACTGAAAGGTTATTTATGTCATTTTTTATGCAATTAAAAAAAAAGTTGGTTATCTTATGTCCACGTCCAACCATTTTAGAATGTTCAAATTAGAAAGTAGGGAAGTAATTCTCCTGAGGTAGGCTAGATTATGCTGCACTAATATACAAACCCCAACTCCTTATGGCTTAATACATCATTCTTTGTTTCTGCTATCATCATAAGGTTGGCTTAGGTCTCTACTTCAGAACCCAGAGTGACAAAGAAGCCAACTTCTGGAATGCTACCAGTTATGATGGCAGAGAGAACATCTCATGGGGGTCTTATATTGGTGATGAAATTGACAGGCCCAGTCCACATGCCTCAACCCCAAAGGAGCCAGAAAGTTCAATGCCACCAGAGCCAACACTTTTTGGTGATCAGAACTAATGAGTACTCTAGAGGTGAGGGAAGACTGTAACTGGCAGGGTCCCTTACAACATGGAAGAATGACAGCTGTTTGTGAGGGAAGAGACAAAGGGAAGACTACAAGTCAAGATGCAAGACTGGGGCTATTTAGTTTAGAGGCAGATGGTCAGCTACACAGGCCTGAGTTATGCCTTGCTCTCCAGTACAGTATAACAAATAATTTTCATATCAGCTCCCAGTCATCAAGGAAAAGTAAAATTGTGTTATGTGCATTCTGCTTAAGAGGGCTTAAACATTGATATTACATTTTAGAATGATTTCTAATACATTATTTTTTATGTTTATTTATTTTTGAAAAAGAGAGACAGAGGGACAGTGAGAGGGGGAGAGACAGAGAGAGAGGGAGACAAAGAAACCAAAGCATGCTCCATGCTGACAGCAGAAAGCCCAATGATGCAGGGCCTGAACTCATAAACTGTGAAATCATGACCTGAGCCAAAGTCAGATGCCTAACCTACTGAGCCACCCAGGCATCCCTAGAATTATTTCTATGAAAAATCCCTAATATATCAATATTTTGTATGTAAAGGGACACTATGTTTATCTAATTCTGCAAAGATACCTAATAGGGGACATGGAATTGTCATTAATTTTGTTATCATTATAGTCATTATATCCATACTGGGCTTTATTTCTGAGTGAAGTAAGTCACAAGAAGCAAGAGAGAGGCCATAGCCTCATGAGAGCATGTCCACTCACTTAAGTCTGTCAGTTGACTGTTTTTTAGCTACATCATTTGAGAACGTGTTGGGACGACATGCAGCCCTGGGTAAGATTGTTTTGAACAATATGAGAAATCAGTGGCATTCAGGCCAAATTAAATCTAATTTACTCTACAAATTGCCAAACTATCAGTCCTATTAAATCTGTTTATTAAAAGGCAGGAGAGTCGGCCTGGGTCGCAAGCTGTGGCTGGGATAATAAGACAAAGATGAAGTCCACTAATGTAGATAAATCATGTTTGATTTCCAGGCCAGAGGTAGCCAATGGGAGGGCTTTCACCTCGCCTCCCCTGTCATCCTGAGGTGTCTGTTAGCCAGTCAGAATGTCCCCAGAGTCAGGCCATACTGATTGATTTTTATGGCACTGGGAGGCCCATGTCATTGCCCCCAATCTGGGGTCATTAATAAAGCCAACTCCATTTCTCTCTAGTTATCCTTTATACAAAATACAATTTAAACAGGTCTTTATAATTTAGAGGTGAATGAGATAAGGAAGGTGGAATGGCAGATAATGGTGGTGGTAGTGGAAGGGATAGGATGTTAGGATTGGTATTCTCTGAAACCCTAAAGTGTAGATAGGACAGGTAACAGTAGACCTTTATTCTCAAAGTACTTGAGGTGACCCACAAAACTTTATAAGGTTTTAGATTGGATCTTGCATCCTAATAATTGCAAGCATATACATAAAATGATGGGGAAAGGACAATGCTAATTAAGGCCTTTTTCTTTAAGAAAGATCAATCTTTGTTTATGCTTGCTTGGAATGCTCTATCCCAGGGTTTCTAGTTACTGCTCATTCTTGGAGGTCTAACTTAAGCTCTCTCTCATCTTAACAAGTCCTCTTTTAATATCCCAGCCCTTAGCTATCCTTCTTTTGAACTCTTATCCCAATGAATATTAATAGTACTTGATTTGACAATTATCATATTCTTCACCACATTGCACTTTGATCAATCTTTTTTATGAACTCTTTCCCTGAAACTACAAAAGAAATATGTAGAGAGATCCAGTAACTTGCCCAGGATCACACACTTAGTAACTTGTGTTATTTCTAGGCAGCAACCCCCCACCAATGCAATGTTTGATTGCATGGGGTAGTCTGATCTTGAGGGAGAAGAAACCTCATTAAGGACGTGAGTTGGAATGGGCTAGGGAATGGCCAAGGAATACAATCTGAACTGTATTCTTCTGGGGCTAGAAAAGCAAGGCCTCTAGTAGATGTCAAGCAATGGCCCTCCAGCCAGCGCTGGCAGACAGGCTGGGTAGAAGTTGAAATGACTGGGTTCACTAATTCAGAAGAATATTCCCTTACATTGAAATTTGACCTGAAAGCACCTTTCATAGATCCATATCTGTGAACTTCCACTTTGTTCCAGGCAGTCTTCAGCTCAGACAGCCTTCATAGTGGATACTTTCTGAAAACCAGGAGTAAGGAATATGACTAAGAATAAAGAACAAGCCTTGAGCAAACAACCTCAAACCCTAGATTTGCATTCTGTGGAATAAACTTGTGGGTTTCAGTCACCACTCATTCAGTACAATTCAATGATAGGTTCAAGAAACTTCTGGAGGAAAGTTGAGGTGGGAGAAGGGAGGGATGAAAATTGCTCACAGTAATCCAAAGGCTTTATTAGTCTGTAATTAGGAGTGATGGGAGGAAGCCAAGTGAGGGAAAATTTAAGCTGAATTGCAGGAAAAAACGAGTCTCTAACAATGAAGAGTATTCAACTGTGGAGGAGGATGACAGAGACAGAGCAGCAGCAGTCACTCATAATTTCTTTATTGGTAATTTGTTCTCTATATTTTGGATGAAATACATATCTGGGAACCATGCCAAGTCATGCAAGGGATGCCCTTTAACCGGCATTCAGGGTGATAGCATTAATGGCTCTGGGAGAGGAAAATGAGATAATCTTGAGAACCAGCTGAGAATGAGAAGTCCAAAGAACAAGGTGTTCTCTTAGATTTGGGTCCTGGCAATGCACATCGTTTGAGCTACTCAAGAGTGGGGACCCTGCACCACTAGAACAGAAACCAGTGCTCTCTCATCTTGCTTTCAATATCTCTAGAGAGCATCTCTTACTAGATCCAGTCTTAGAGAGATATGAATTATCAGAATATCATATTCTAGGAAATGACAAAATGCAACTATGTTCCATGTAATAGATTTAAGTTAGAAGGGAAAGAAGAGTGAAGATGGGGTTTTAAAAATGAATTAAAACATATATAAACAACTTTGCATCACCTCCTCCTGATAAGACTTACTTATGCAAACAAACCTTTGGTTTTGTCCTATCTAGAACACTCTACAAGCGTTTTAACCAGTAGCTCTATTGCCCTTTAGTCTCATCCAGGTGGGTTTTTATGTGCTGCTGTTTTCATGTCATACTCTGTTCATGGTCTTTCCAAGGACCTTTACAATCTGTTCTCAACTTACCCTTCTAGCCATTATCTGTATTACCCAGACCCTCTAGTTCACCAACATGTTTAACATTTGCCCAACACACACACAGACATATATGGGCACACACGTGCCCAAACATGGCAAACATGCTTACAGATATACACATGCATGTGCACACACATACAAACAATAAAAAGAACACTCTTTTCATTCAACACCTTTAGAATCTTGTGTTTCTGGGAATATAACTTGAGGAAATGCCTCTTTTGTTTTTAAACGCAATCTTCTCATTCTTCAAACCCATTTCCCACCTCTATTAGGGGCAGAGGTGAATGTAGCTACCATTCTTCTTCCACCTGGAATGCCAGCATCACTCAACTCAGTGTATAAGAAGTCTGCCTGTCCTGTAAGGCTCAAGCCTGGCACTATTGTTACAGAATATCCTTCCCAACTTCCTCAGAAGGAAGAGATCCCACTTTTCTCTGAAATTCTGCAGCATGGTCAATAACCCAAGGATGCTAACACATCTACCTTCTACCATGGGTCTTTGCCTTCATTCTTTAACTCCCTTACTAGGATGTACTTTCTCAAAATTTAGGACCATGTTTCACATAGCTTCACACTTCCCACAGAACCTAGCAAGGTCTTTTTAACCCAGCAGGTACTCAGAAAATACTCATTTTAGAGAATGAATAGATTAATAATCAGAAGATGAAGTCTTCATCATATCACTCCTCCATTTA